CGTGGGGGCGGGGGGAGGGCTGGGGGGGGGGGCGGCAGCCGCAATGGCCGGTGGGAGATATAGTTGCCCTGGCCTCCATCTCCCAGCAGTCCCTGCAGGATAGGGTTGCAAGATGGTTTAACCAAAAATACTGAAACATCCCCCCCCCCTAAAAAAAACACTGGGGAAAAAATTCTGTGTGGGGGGGGGAAAGGGGAGACCAAAGTTGTTGATGAAAAAAGGCCTCCGAAAGTTATTAAAGCTAAAAAGCCAAACCAAGCCAAAGCAAAGAAACCAGCATGGCCCTTCCAGTGCTGCGGCGTCAGAAGAGGGGTAGGACGGGAGCGGCTGAGCACTAAGGCGCTGGGGGCTGCCATTCTGCTCTCTTGGCCCAGCCAGAAGGCAGCTTCCCTGCGGGACCAGGTGAGCAGGGGCTCTGGGGGAGGGGGAGCTGGGCCCAGTGCCGAGTGTGTCGTAGGGTTGCCAGGTGTCCGGCATTTTCTGAACGTCCTTACTGGGCAGGAGGCGGAAATACCGGACACCTGGCACCCTACTGCATGGTCAGCAGCAGGGGAGAGGAGCAGGGTCCAGCACCTGCTCCACCAGCGGAGGGTCCGGCTCCTGCTCCCCCAGCAGCCAATGCGGGGTCTGGTGCCTCCTGGTTGGGTGGGGGAAGAGCCTTCCTAAGAGAGGCGGAAGTGGGGGCAAGAGGAAGTGACGTCAGCGGCCCTAAATTCCGGTAACTGAGTTGTCGATGGAATTTGCCGTGACTGTTCGGTGGGTCGATGGGGCGCCTGCGCCTCTGAAATGCAGCGTGAGCCCCGCTGGCTCTGCAAAGGCGGAACGCTGAGGGGAGTGCGGGGCCGGGCGGGGGAGCGCTCACCGCCCAGTTCCTGCCCAGCCCAGGAACCGGGGAGTGAGTGCTCCTCTGTCCGGAGGCTGCACAGTCACAGGAAGAGGCAACGGAGAGCTCATCATGTGGTGAGTAAAAACAATTCTGTATACCCCACACCCGAGTATACTCCGTGGGGTGGGGTGCGGGCTTTGTAAAAATGAACGTAACTCGTGGGTTATATTCGCTAAATTACAGTAATCGAATTGTCGATGGAATTTGCCGCTACTGTTCAGTGGGCCGATGGGGCACCTGCGCCTCTGAAACGCAGCGTGAGCCCCGCTGGCTCTGCAAAGACGGAAGCGCCGTAGGGAGCACGGGGCCGGCAGGGAACTCGAGCAGCCCCCCACTGGTCCCGTGCTCCCCATGTGGGAAATGGACCAGGGCTCCACGGACCCTTCTCCGTTTCAGACCAAAGCGTGTGGGGAGCACGGGGCCAGCGGGGGACTGGAGGCCCCAGGGCATCCTGGGAAGTGCAGCGCCCGCTGGCTCGGGCGTTCCCGTGCGCAGGACGAGGGTCGTGCGAGGCTGGAAGGGGAAGCTGCCCTGACGCTGTGCTGGTATCAGGAGGCCACCGCTGCCCTCGCTGTGAAGGAGCCCCTCCCTCGGAGAGACATCGTCTTGCCCACCGGCACAAAGCTTGCTGGCGCCTAGACATCTCCAGCAGAACTCGCCCGTCCTGCCAGTGGCACTTTGTGGGGATACTTAATGTGTCTAGGATCATACGGAAAACTGAGTAGGCTGCCAATTGACCTTGCATCACACATGCTGAGAGTTGGCAAAATTAGGATTGAAGTAAAGACTTGGTCTCGCAGCAGCACCGAGGAGCCCCAGACATGGACTAGGGCCTTGTGGGAATAGTTGTCTCCTAATTGATCTAATCTTTGGCTTTTGAGTTTAATGTTATTGCTGAGTCCTTCTTGGCAACTGTTACTTGGTGTGCATGCGTGCGCACGTAAGTATCAGTGCAAGTGTGTGCGTCCCTGGGTGTCTGAGTGTGCAAGTGTCCATTTGCATGTGTGTGTGCGTCCCTGCGTGCAGGTAGATTGAGCAGATGCGTGTGTGTGCGCGTCTGAGCGAGGGCATGAGTATCCACATGCGTGTTCGTGCAAGCACGAGTGGGCTCTCAGGCGTGTTAATCTGTTAATTCGCGTTTGTGCGTATATACACGCATCCCTGCGTTTGAGCATTTGGCGGGGTGAGTGGCTGTTGCACGGGCGTGTGCGTCTGACATGTTCTAGTCAGACGGTGCTTTGGCAGCTTTAGCTCCTGGAGAGCAACACCACTTCCCATCTGGAGCATGCAGCTGGGATGTGAGAGGCAGGGAAGAGTAGAACTGTTGCAGCGCGTTTCAGCACGAGGCTCTAACTGCCGCGCGGTAGCTGCTCCTTTGTGTCCGACGTGGTGCAACAAGGAGCGGCCTCGCGTCATGCCGGCGCCACGTGCGTTCAGTCCCACGGACCGGAAGTGACGTTTGCTCGGTCCATGGCCTGACAGCAACTGACTGGGAACCGTGACCAGAAGGTGCTCAGGTACGTGCTCCAACCACGTCCCCCGGGAACAGGGCCCAGAGTCGATTGGCTTCAACGAACACTCAGCTGGCGCCGGGTCTGCCAGCGGGAGGCGGAGGGAAACACAGGACGGGATGGGTTCAGACTTGGGGCGCCTGGCTGCGGCTGGCTCTGGAGTTGGGGTTTCCTGCAGCAGCGCAGCCAGCGTAGCCCACCAACTCCGGTGGCGCGGGAGGCAGAGGAGGGACACCGGAGACCGTGGCCGAGCGGTGATGGAGGCTGGAACCGTTCTGGCAAGGCGCCGCTCTGCTCCTTGCTTGGACGGGTTGGTGCCCTGCGTCTGTGGCAGGCCCTGAGGTCACAGCTGGTCTGCCAAGAAATCCCACCCTGGGTGGGTAGAGAAGGGAAACAGTGCATGCTGGGAGATGTAGTCTTTCCACAGGTCACTACGGCCCCCATCACACCACAGGAGCTGCAGCATCTTCCGGACTGCGTTACTCATCAGCTCCCGTGGCCCCATAACCCCAAGGGAGTCGTGGCGTTTTCTGCCCTAAGGGCTGTGGTATTGGGGTGTGGCAGCGTAGGGAGGGGCGGGGCACCCACCAGTGGCACTGCTCCCAGAGAGTCTCTCCCACCGTAGAGACGCCAGAGTGGTTCTCCCCCACCCCCACCTTGTAAGGACCCAGAGCCTTGTCCCAGGCAGCGCCCCACCCCCTGGTGAGTAGAATGTGAGATTTGGCCCCTCCTCCCCCCAGGGAGCGCACATCCTGGAGCTGGCTGTGTGCAGGGCAAGGTCTGTCCCAGGCTTCTCCCCCCAGGACTGGGCTCTGAGTCCCTGCCTTTGGCAGAGGGGAGCTGCTGCCAGCCCCCAGCATTTGCAGGGAGTGGGAGCCTGGGAGCCAGCAACATGTGAGGAAGCAAAGGTGGGGGAGCTGGCAGGGGGCTCGGAGGGCAGTGAGGGAGGAAGAGCAGAGGGGGAGGCGGGGACAGAGCTGCAGGGGGCCCCGCCCCAGAAGCAGCTGTACCAAGGCTCCAGCTCTGGGTGGAG